CGCTTCCAATTTTGCCACAAACTAGGAAAAAATTCCTTCTTGACCCCAAAATAGCAGTCAGATGTCTCCTTGGATCAATCAGCTATTACCCCACTAATTAGAAATTATATCCCTGTATGTTATGTTTTTGTAAGTATTTATCCAATTTCAGTTTAAACATCTGTATGGACTCTGACAAAACCACCTCTTCAGGCAGAGAATTCCATATCCTTATTATTCTTACTGTAAAAAAACCTTTTCTTTGCCTTAGATGAAATCTCCTTTCTTCCAACCTAAATGTGTGACCTCGTGTCCTATGTATAGCCCTGTTTATGAATAGATTTCCAGATAAAGGTTTGTACTGGCCCCGAATATATTTGTATAAAGTTATCATATCCCCTCTCAGGCGCCGTTTTTCCAAACTAAACAGATTTAATTTTTTTAACCTTTCTTCATAACTAAAATGCTCCATTCCTTTTATCAATTTTGTAGCTTGTCTCTGGACCCTCTCCAGTGCCATGATATCCTTCTTTAGAACAGGTGCCCAAAATTGCACAGCATATTCAAGGTGTGGTCTTACCAGCGATTTATAAAGAGGCAGAATTATATTTTCATCCCGAGAATTTATGCCCCTATTTATACATGTCGTCATGGAGGAGAGAAAGAGGACTCTAGTGGCAACCTGTGAAGCTCTGGTGAACTCCATGCCCATGAGGGTTAAGCCAGTGCTGGAACATAATAGTGGCTACACAAAATATTGACACTTTGGGCCCAATTTGGACATTTCCACTTAGGGGTGCGCTCACTTTTATTGCTAACGGTTTAGACATTAATGGCTGTGTGTTGAGTTATTGTGAGGGGATAGGAAATTTACACTGTTATACAGGCTGTACACTTACTACTTTACATTGCAGCAGCAGTATCATTTCTTCATTGTTGTCCCATGAAAAGATTCAATAAAATATTTACAAAAATGTGAGGGCTGTACTCACTTTTGTGAGATACGGTATATAACAAAATGTAGTGGTATGTGGTGTCCCTCAGGGTTCTGTTCTGGGACCGATTCTATTTAACATATTTATAAATGATCTTGAAAAAAGCATTGAAAGTCATGTTTCAGTGTTTGCAGATGACACAAAACTCTTTAAAGTAATACAATGTGAACAAGATTTTATTTTGCTGCAGAGAGATTTAGATAGGCTGGGCATTGAAATGGCAGATTAAATTTAATGAAGAAAAATGCACTTCGGGGTAAAGAATGTACAAGCAACTTATACCCTTAATGGTAGTGAATTAGGGATAACAACACTCGAGAAGAATTTGGGAATTGTTATAGACAACAAACTAGGCAACAATGTGCAATGTCAATCAGCAGTGGCTAAGGCCAGTAAGGTTTTGTCATGTATAAAAAAGGGCATTCATTCTTGGGATGAGAATATCATTTTGCCTCTTGTGACCACATCTTGAATATGCTGTGCAATTTGGGGTACCTGTTCTAAAGAAGGATATTATGGCACTAGAAAAAGTGCAGAGGCGGGCTACAAAATTAATAAAATAAATTAAACATTTTAGCTATGAAAAAAGGTTAACAAATTTAAACCTCTTTGGTTTTGAAAAACGACACCTCAAAGGGGATATGATAACATTATACAAATATATCTGGAGCCAATACAAACTATTGTCTGGAAAACTAGTCACAAACAGGACTATACAAAAACAGATGTGAGGAAGGCTGTACTTGATGGACACATCTCTTTTCAGCCTATGTAACTATGTACAACTATGCAATTCTACACATATACTGTACTATATACACATACACAATATAAACACATCATAACATATATTAAGAGCTTCCAAATCACACACAGAAGAGAAAATAGCACAGTCAGTAAAAAAGGGGGATAAAACATTTTTTAGATACATAAATGAGAAAAGAAAAGTAAAACAAGGATTAGTTAGATTAAAAACAAAAGAAGGAAGGTATGTAGAAGAGGATAAAGACCAGGCTGACTGCCTCAATGAATATTTTTGTTCTGTATTTACAGAAGAAAATGAAGGAAAGGGACCTCAGTTGAGAAAAAGGATAAATGAGTCATTTATTACACGTGAGTTTACAGAGGAAGAGGTTCTATTTCAACTGTCAAAAGTAAAGACAAATAAGTCAATGGGACCTGATGGAATACACCCAAAGCTATTAAAAGAGCTTAGTGGTGTACTAGCAAAACCATTAACAGATTTATTTAACCAATCATTGTTAACAGGAGTAGTCCCAGAAGATTGGAAGTTAGCGAATGTTGTGCCCATTTACAAGAAAGGTAATAGGGAGGAGTCGGGCAACTATAGGCCAGTAAGCCTTACTTCAGTAGTGGGGAAAGTGATGGAAACCATGTTAAAGGATAGGATTGTTGAACATCTAAAACACATGGATTTCAAGATCAGAGACAACATGGGTTTACTTCAGGGAGATCATGCCAAACTAATCTTATTGATTTTTTGATTGGGTAACTAAAATAATAGATCAGGGTGGTGCAGTAGACATTGCTTACCTAGATTTTAGTAAAGCTTTTGACACTGTTGCACATAGAAGGCTTATCAATAAACTGCAATCTTTAAGTTTGGATTCCAATATTGCTGAATGGGTAAGGCAGTGGCTGAGTGACAGGCAACAGAGGGTTGTAGTTAATGGAATATATTCGAAGCTTGGACTTGTCACCAGTGGGGTACCTCAGGGATCTGTACTTGGACCCATTCCCTTTAATATTTTTATTAGTGATATTGCAGAAGGTCTTGATGGTAAGGTATGTCTTTTTGCTGATGATACTAAGATATGTAACAGGGTTGATGTTCCAGGAGGGATAAGCCAAATGGCAAATGATTTAGGTAAACTAGAAAAATGGTCAGAGTTGTGGCAGCTGACATTTAATGTGGATAAGTGCAAGATAATGCATCTTGGACGTAAAAACCCCAGGGCAGAGTACAGAACATTTGATAGAGTCCTAACCTCAACATCTGAGGAAAGGAATTTAGGGGTGATTATTTCTGATGACTTAAAGGTAGGCAGACAATGTAATAGAGCAGCAGGAAATGCTAGCAGAATGCTTGGTTATATAGGGAGAGGTATTAGCAGTAGAAAGAGGGAAGTGCTCATGCCATTGTACAGAACACTGGTGAGACCTCACTTGGAGTATTGTACACAGTACTGAGACCGTATCTTCAGAAGGATATTGATACCTTAGAGAGGGTTCAGAGAAGGGCTACTAAACTGGTTCATGGATTGCGGGATAAAACTTACCAGGAAAGGTTAAAGGATCTTAACATGTATAGCTTGGAGGAAAGGCGAGACAGGGGGGGATATGATAGAAACATTTAAATATATAAAGGGAATCAACACAGTAAAGGAGGAGACTATATTTAAAAGAAGAAAAACTACCACAACAAGAGGACATAGTCTTAAATTAGAGGGACAAAGGTTTAAAAATAATATCAGAAGTATTACTTTACTGAGAGGGTAGTGGATGCATGGAATAGCCTTCCAGCTGAAGTGGTAGAGGTTAACACAGTAAAGGAGTTTAAGCATGCATGGATAGGCATAAGGCTATCCTAACTATAAGATAAGGCTAGGGACTAATGAAAGTTTTTAGAAAATTGGGCAGACTAGATGGGCCGAATGGTTCTTATCTGCCGTCACATTCTATGTTTCTATGTTTCTATGTTTCTATTATATTTAGCCATCCTCCTTTTAAGTTACTTTTTTATAGTTCAAGAGTGGCTTCCTTGGGGTCTATTGACGATCTCTACGCACAGGAATGCAGATTCCTTGGCTTCTCTCTAAACCTCCAGCAGAGGCTTTCCATTAGCACTGAGAGTGATCTGACATTGCTTCCTCCCAATGCTATCACGAAGAGATAAGAGTGGGCAGGCAGTCAGTCCATTAGGAGTCCCGGACTGCTGGAGTACTGTAATGGGGTCTGCTCAATTCAGGCTCCATTGCTGTATCGGGCTCCTTACAGGAAAACTGTCTGTCACCCTCTGATGTTGACCCTGATTGTCCTATTGTAACATCTGCAATATGCTTTTTATCCTTTCTGGACGCTATTACATGCACCTGCTGTTCAAATAGTTTTGATTATATGTTATATGTTATAAGTGCATTATGCCTATTGTTTTTAGGCAATACTATATGTAATATGTATTGTAACTATTAAAAATGAATGAACTATAGTTTAAAAAAAAACCTAGGATCCTACACATTAGGTGGAATATGTAGGGACATTATAGCTAGTTATGTTTGTTTTTTCTTTTAAATAAAAACAATAATAAAAACCTTCGTATTACATGTCAAATAAAAACAATAGAGAGCTATTAAAGGGACTATAGCCACCAAAACAACTTTAGCTTAATGAAGCAGTTTCGGTGTATAGATCATGTCCTTGCAGTCTCACTGTTAGATTCTCTGCCATTTAAGAGTTAAATCACTTTCTTTATGCAGACATAAGCACACCCCCCTGCATGTGACTTGAACAGCCTTCCTAAACACTTTCTGTAAAGAGAGATCTAAAGCTTATAGTTCCTTACTTGTAAATTTTGTTTTATTTAGATTGTCTTAACTCATGCTCTGTTAATAGCTTGCTAGAGCCTCCAGACACCCCCTGTATGTGATTAAAGTTACATTTACAGAGCAGGAGATAACAATTTTTCAAATAAGTTACATGTAACGGATCCCCTATACTCCGGCTGAGTATATCTGTTAGTAGTCTCCCGAATCCCAAGTGCTGCAGGGATTATGGCTCTCCTGTATCCGGCAGAGTAGTGATTAGAGCTCTCCAATCCCCCAAACATGAGCCTAAACATCATGAAGGGGTAAAACAAATGTTTAATCCAGGCTCAATAGCCTGCTTCTATACAATACAGGGACAAAGTAAACTTACCCATAACACTCCCACACAAAACAGGATAATCCCTCCCTCTGGATCTGAAAGAAGACTAGTTACACGAAAACATCTAACATATTGTGCCTGAGAGATAATTACCTGAGCACACAAACATATAATTGAATTATCTCTCAGTACAGAAACAGGCAATATAACAAAACCCCCAAGACACATAAAAACCTCACAAAAGTTACATCAACTGATAGCCCAGATCTTGGTGACCAACATATCCAAAAATCACCCAGATCGGTTCAAGATTTTTATGGAAGTCAAATATTTGATTGACCGTGCACATGGACCTTTGCCCAAAACAGTTCCAGGGAATCAAGGCTAAGGGTCGGTCTCTCTTTCTGGAGTACAAAAGTACATAAATCACATGAACAGAGCCTTTTAAAGTGCATTGAGCAAGGTATATTGCAGGGCCCATAGTCCTGAGGCAGGAGGCTGGCAAGAAGGCTCCTCTGGGAGCTTGTGGCAAATGACCAGACGACAGGGCGTTTCACGTTACATCTTATTTTTTTTTTCATTCTGGCTGTGTGTGAGTCACATCCAGGGAAGGTGTGGCTAGAAAAACAGAAACAAAATGAATTTAACTCCTAAATGGGAGAGCATTGAGCAGTGAAACTTAGAAGGCACCAAAACGGCTTCATTAAGCTACAGTTGTTTTGGTGTCTGTAGTGTTCCTTTAAAAATGAAATCTTGATATTTCGTTTTAAAATGTGAATTTGCACAAACCAACAGAGATTCATAAATACTTTGTTTCTGTGTACACTGGCTTTTTTTGAAAATAGTCGATAACTGTCATCAGCAAGGCTTGAGCTTTGCACTGAATGATAGATAGTACTTAAAAAACAAACAAAACAAAAAGACTACTATACGTACTCTTCATGTGACACCAATTGCTGTTCTGGTAAATGATATTCAATGAAAGCTACAAGCAATGTTTTGGGAAGTGCATTCATCTTCCTCTCTGCTGCACATTACCATTATTCACTATTTCTCTGTACATTTCCTTGAAATATGGTCTTCGACTTTATACCCATAAATCTCTTACCTAATGCCCCATTTACTGTCAAATTGTAACACTTCTCCAGTTTTGCTTTATTCGTTTATACTCCATTTCCTTTTCTCATACGTCTCTGTAAATGTTTAAAGGATGGCAGTTTTAAGTAATTTTTAAAGGAGGCTAAGCCGATAAAGAATAAATCTTGAATCCTTAGTGATTCTTGACTAACATTGGCTTTCTTGAATGTACTTTTACACCACCATGCTGAATTATTCCCACAATGACCTAAACAGGAGAACGTAGAAGGTTACATGCAAAATTAAAAGGGACATGATAAACACCAGCTTGGTCTCCCTCCATTAGAAAAAGGAAATAGTAATCTGCGACCCCACACCAAGGAAAAGTTTTCCCTGCAGCCTGATCCTCATCCAGTGTGGTCACTTCCCCTCATTAGAGAGAGGAGGAAGTGCCAGTGGACAGGCTGAAGGAAGGACTTGGATAGCATGCCAGTTATGCTATACATGCTGATGACAGTTGCCTTTTATGCACAGAATTGATATAAAAGATTAAACAAAACTACCAACTGAAAATATGAATATTGGTTCTTTGATGTTTACATGTGATTATTTGATAAGGACATGAGGGGATTCAGAGCCTTTTGTGTGTTTCTCGAAACATTGGATGTCTTCTTTTTCAGCACTGTTATAATTTGATACTAATATGAATATTATTTTAATGTTTGCCATTTGTTTTACACAAATTTGTTTTCTACATCTATCATTATCTATACACAAATTTATAATTTGAATATATAAACAGTTTTAAGATACAAAATATATATTTTTTAAACAAGCTACTATGAAAACAATAGAAGAATGATACATTTCCACCTAACTCAAACCGCCATAGATTGTAAGCTGATTTGAGCAAGGCCTTTATTGAATGACCCTGTGAATCGACTAAATGCATTCACATATCAGTTCCATGTCAATGTTAGTCAGCAAAGATGAGGGGGCAAACAAACTGGATGATGTGTTGACCAATAATGTAATAAAAAAATAATAAAGAACATGCAATTTGTTAGTTCTTTGAAATTGTTGCTACTAATTTTTCTTTTGGGGGGGAAGTGTCCCAGGTGGGCGTGGTCAAAGGCTAAAGTTATTAGTGGGATAGAGGGTGTAGTGTGGGGTTAGGGGTAGTAGAAGGGATGTAGTGGGAGGTTATGGAGTTTAGTGGGGGTTTGAGCCTGTAGTGGGGGGTTAGGTGGTCTGGTAGGGTAGAAAAGTGGCTTAAATAAAAAAAAAAATTAAAAATCAGTTTCTTCCCCCCTTCCTGTGGCTTACCTTTGGCTAGAGGGGGGGGTAATCCTGACCCCTGGTGGTCTGGTGGGAGATGCAAATTGTTAGAGCATTCTCAATGACTGGAGCTTGCCTGGCTCAGCCCAGCCTCAACACATAGCCTCCTGCATTACCACTGATCCGGAGGCTGGGCTGAGGTAAGGTATTGCTGCCTGACCATGCTACAGTAATGGGAGAGGGAGAAGAGCACATACAGTGGCATGCTGGGATTATTATTAGCCCCTGAGTGCCTTTTTCTGGCCAGTCACATTTTAGACGCAGGACTTTTTGGGGGCCCACCTGGGAACCCTCCTTTTGCCTTAGCTCTTTGCACCTGTGTGCAGTGCACTCTGTGTGCACCCAAACAGAGTCAACCCTGCTTCTGCTATTTGCTAACTCCTTTGTTGGTTAATGTGGTGTATCAAAACCAATTTCCAAGAAAAAAACAAACTATTATTGTTCGTTGATACTCCTCCCTTCTATAAACATACAAAATATAAGAAATTGACCCCAATATAACCAGACAGATTTTTTTCCTCTAGGTTTCTATGTGTGTGTTTTTTTTGTTGGGTGATATCTTTAGCACACATTAGAGTGCTTTAACAGGTATGAGACAGTAGGTCAAAGAGGTCAACTGCTGGTAATTTCATCATCAGCATTTTTTTTACCTGGTGATGGTGTTTAATCTGACACCTTTCAAAAAAATAAGAACTACAGCTGAATTTAGAAAACACAAAAGCACTTTAAGTTTTTTTCTTCTTGTATTACATCATTGCTACCATTTAACCTTCAGATGACTTACTGTCTGCCTGCAGACAGTCACTGTAAGAACAGTAACTATAATTGCATGAAATGGTGAGTTTATTTTATCCTGCTGTCAAACCATTGTGTACTAAATAAATTATGGCAAATACTTCATGCAGCTGAGCTAGGTGAAGCACATATTTACTTGTCATTATCAGTATTTTATTTTAGTCTTCGCCATCATTTTGTCTGCACTGTTGGCTGATAAGATAATAGCTGTAATGTACATCTGTAATATGTTTTTTTTTCTTTTTTTTTTGTCCATTTGTTCATGTACAATACTGCATGTGTACAGTGCAGGCAGAATCTTGTATACATAAAGAGTAAGGATTGCTCTAAAATTGGATGTTACAACTATGTCATGTCTTGTTTAGCTGGTGTGATAACATTATTCAACACCATTATTTCATAGTAAGTTGCTGAGAGATAGATTTTAGTAAATAAAATACTGCAAAGCATTGAGAGAGGGCATATTAACCCCTTCATTTCCTAGTAATTTTTGTTTGAAAACAAAACAAAACATTAGACTAACATTTAATTGAAACATGGAATACATAGCTGTGTATGCGTAGTAAAACCGCACTTCTGTGCCTAGATTGCTCTTCAAATTAACATAAAAATGCAAATGATATAAATCTGCACGTTTATTTTTAATTTATTTGTTCATCCCGTTATAGAAAATTTTTGGGAATGAAAAAGTTGAGAATATATACTGTATCCATTATTTCGCAATATTTCGCAAAACTGGCTTACCTTGAAGCAGTTACTTAATTGCACGTGGTTTCAAGCCTTGTTTTAATTTATTTCATGTCCAGCTATAGGGAATGTTATGATTCACGTTTTTGGTGTTATTCTTCTTTGTTTCACTCCTTTTTGAAACATAGTAAAGATTTACATGGTTTTAATGAGTTTATGTCTTCCCCTGCTTTCTCTGATCTAACTGTATTTGGCATCATTGTCTAAATTTAATTTTCCTAATAAACGAAAGTAAAAACGTGCTTTAGGGAGTAATGGAATAAAAAGGTTGAAAGTATCACCATGAAAAAAGTCTGTCCACTCAATCACGTCCAACATATTTTATAAGTTTGATAAAAGGTGGTAACTTATAATATATAAGTTATAATAGTTATAAATAACTTTACATTCTATTTGTAAAGTATACACTATGAAACACGACTAAACATAATAATTGTTAACCCATTTAAACAACGTAGGGGGCATCTGACATACCGTATATACTCGAGTATAAGACAAGTTTTTCAGCACATTTTTTGTGCTGAAAAACCCCCATTCATCTTATACTTGAGTCAATGTCTGTATTAAAGCAACTTACATTGCCATAATACAGACCAGGACCGCCGGGCTCATTACAAGCCCAGCGGTCCTGTTGCGGAGCTGTTACTTACCTTCACAGAAGCTCCTGTCAGCTCCCTTCTTCTCCATGCCGGTCAGCTTCCCTGTCAGCTCCACTGTAAATCTCACGAGAGCTGCGGGGTCAGAGCGTTGCCATGGGTTACCATGGCAACGCTCTGCGCGGCACTCACACCGCGAGACTTACAGTGGGAGCTGACAGGGGAGCTGACCAGCAATAGGAGAAGGGAGCTGACAGGGGCTGCAGGAAAGGTAAGTTACAGCTTGCTGCCAGCCCCCCTCCTACACAGCCCATCCACTGGACCACCAGGGAATGAGAGCCCCCCTCAATGGCCATGTATCAAGCAGGGAGGGGGGACGAAAATAAATAAATACAAATTTAAATAATACAAAATAAAATAAAAATATTAATAAAAAAATATGAAAATAATAATAATTAAAAAAAAACAATAAAAATGCCCACCCCCTATCAAGGCTCTGCATCACATACACACACACACTGCACTCATACACACACACACACACACTGCACTCATACACATCCACTGCATTCATACACACACACACTGCACTCATACACACACTGCACTCATACACACACACACTGCATTCATACACACACACTGCATTCATACTCACACACACACTGCAAATAAATATTCAATATAATTTTTTGGGGATCTAATTTTATTTAGAAATTTACCAGTAGCTGCTGCATTTCCCAGCCTAGTCTGATACTCGAGTCAATACGTTTTCCCAGTTTTTTGGGGTAAAATTAGGGATCTCGACTTATATTCGGGTCAACTTCTTCACTTTTGACGTAGAAATGTTAAATCATTGCTCACACTAAGTTGTCCTAGGTTCCTAGAGCTGCCTTCTGTCAAGAGGGGACAGATTTAGTCGCCTCAAACTGACAGATCAGAAGCGATAAGTCTTCAAATGAAACACTGTCAAATCCTATTGAAA